TATGAGTGATTTACCACGTTGATCGCAAAGCTTTAATAGCATGATGAGACCAAGTCTTATTGCCACTGTTTCTAGCAGGAAGATTCGTTTCTTATTAGACAGTGGGTCTATGAGCTTGAATTGAGCCCAATGCCTTCCCACTAGTATTCCAATACCGAAAGAGGTGGAGGCGTCCCTAACCCAACCGACGTCTAAAGGGTGGTCCCCATCTAATTAGACGCGTGTGTTCAAAATTGTTCAAGGTTTCCACCCAAATTTGAAAGTCTTCGAGGATGTCCACCAGAGTCGCCCTTTTTGCTTTCCGCCAGAACCAAGATTTTAGCCAGCAATATAAGGAACATAAGTTACATCTTAAGTTTGGTAAGATGTATGTCACATGGTTAAGACGTCCTACGAGAATTTCGACTTCTTTGTAATCGAAAGTAGCCTTTGCGACTTGGAAGGGGTATATCTGATTCAGTCTTTTCTCGATTTTACCCTCTGGCAATCTCACTGTCTTATCTACACCGTTCCATGCGAAGCCTATGAATTTTTGTTCTGGCGAGAAATCTGAGAACTTCTTGACGTTTGTCATCACTCCAAGCTCGGTTGATTTTAATACTACGTCTTTCATTGATAAATCAGCGCCAACTTCTTTAATAAAGAGATTGTCGTCTACCCATTGGAAAATGGTGATTAAGTTGAAGTGACTTTTCATTATGAGTTTCCACGTGTCGGCTGGACGACCGAAAGATCCGCAACCTGCAACGCCCCCAAAGGTGATTCGTGTATCTATCAATAGGTTGCCGTCGAAATCTTGCACCAGAAGGTACTTCAATTGGTCTTGTTTCGTCGGTATCTGTCGGTACGCCCCTTCCCAGTCAAAAAGTGCCAGTTCGAATGACCTTTTGTCTTCTGCGAAGAATTTTGACACCGTCTTGAAATCATCCCACGTTGTTTTGAAATCAAGTTTATTAACGTAAGAGTTCACTGATTTTACTTCTATATCATTTCTGGGATAGGATAGGTCGTTAATAGGTCTGATCTTCCCATCACCGTTAACTACGGCACCCAAAGGATTTGACCTAAAGAAACCAAATGTGGCTTCCATTTGCTGATGGGAAAATGGCCCTATCATTCTTCCGGCCGCTAACTCTTTCGCAATCGACTCCTGAATCTTATCTTTTGCTAGGAGGGAAGATTTATGGTTCTCAGGCGTGAACCACCGTTTTCCTTCAATTCTGTGCTGCGGTATACCTTGGTCGAAACCATGTGTGAAACCGTCTATGACGTCCTGATATTCTGGCAAGAGGTGGTTCAAGTGCAGAGCTTCACTCCATTTCTGCACATTCATCTCGCAGATTATCTCTCTTGATAAATATATCTTCTTGATTTCTAATTGATGACACCTTCAAATGCAGAAGTATAAAGAATAATGAGAACAACACAAAAGTGTGAGAAAAAACAATCTAGTCAGGAACAACAATGTTGAAGTCCGGAAATTGCCTTAATCCGTGCAATTATAATCTTATTTCAGGGGCTTGGGAGTGATAATCTTGCGATATGGGTCGTTACTACGCGAAGAAAGGATTATGCCTACATATCTTTCCCCTCCTTGGATTCTTTCTTCCCCGATTGAACACGAGAACTTGACCCTCCTCCCCGTTGCTCTCTACCTCTGAAATTGTTGGGTTGACGTTCATCAGTTTGGTTATTGTTGTTGGGGTTGTATCGGTTGTTGCCGTAGCTGCTCCTTTGCCCCCATGATCTGTTATCATCTTCTCGGAAATGCCTCGCTTCTCGTCTGTCGTCGAAGTATTGATTGCTTTGATCGTTGGGGCCGAGGTATCTTCCTCTGTAGCCACCTCGGTTTCTTGAAGTATTGCCCCTGAATCCGTTTTTTTCAGACAGGCCGGCTGGTACGTGGTTGATAATGTCGGAGGTTGACTTATGACCTTTCGCCAGTTTCGGTCTTCCGGTTTTTGGGTCGCAACCAAATTTGACGCCCCCATAGGCATAAGGGTTATCCAAGAAGTCAAGTTCGTCTAGCTTCCTTGTGATTGCCCAGGCCTTTTCTCGTACTTCTTTCCTCATTACTGATATGTCTACGACCAACGCTCCTTTTTCTGTCTTGACCCGATAAGCAAAAGCGTTTGCCCTGACAATCATGTCGTATCGGAAGCCTGTTAGGAAACCATCTGCCGCAATGATTTCGTCCACATTTGCTTTGTGTTTGACGATCCAATCTGCAAACTCTGGGATTTTGTAGATGTCTCTGTAGGTGATGAGGAAACTTCTGAAGTTGTTGGTCCATGCGCTGAACGATGTGGAACTACTCTTTGGTGGGAATAGAGCTTAGAGAGGGATGAGAGCTTGAAGGGCTGCCTCTCTGGTTACTGGGAGAGTAAGAAGAACAAGAAATAAGAGTATGGACTCTTAAAGAAAGGTGTGGCTAAATGAAGATGTAAGATTTGTAAAAGGGTAAGGTATGAGGATAATAATCTGGGTGAAATGTCTCAATTCTGTAATTCTAAATATATTCAGTAAGTAATGCTAAATCAA